CTTCACAATAGCTAATCACAAGATTAAATACTTGGGAGTAAATCTAACCAGAAGCACAAACAATCTATTCAAAGAAAATACAAAACGTTACTATAAGAAACAAAAAGAGACCTCTAGAAATGGAAGAATACACCTTACTCATGAATAGCAAGACTCAATATTGTAAAAATGACAATCTTAACAAAGGTAATCTACACATTCAATGCAATCCCAATACAAATACCAATCCCATTCTTCAACGAGGTGGAAAAGACAACCTTGAGTTTCATTTGGAATGGAAAGAGTCCCCAAATAAGCAAAGCACTCCTTAGAAAGAGAAACAAGGTGGGAGGAATCTCACCCCTTGATTTCAAATCCTACTACACTGCTGTGGTGGTCAAGACAGTGTGGTACTGGTACAATGACAGACACATAGATCAAGGGAATAGAATTGAGAATCCAGAAATCAGCTCATCAACCTATGGTCACTTGATTTTTGACAGGGAGATGAAATCAGTTAAGTGGGGAAACTACAGCCTTTTTAACAAATGGCGAAATCGGAAAACTATCTATAGAAATCTCAAGCAAGATCCACACCTCGCTCCATACACAAAAAACAACTCAAAGTAGATCAAGGACCTAGGACTAAAGCCAAGGACTATAAAATTCATTATAGAAAAGCTTGAAAAAACTCTAGAAACACTAATCCACAACATAAACAGTCTTCCAAGCATGTGTACACACACACACACACACACACACACACACACACACTCATATTGTTGCTATTGGGTTGGATGTTACTGATTTCTGATCCTCTATATAACAAAGATAACATTCTTTGACAGGTTTGGAAGCAGGAGTGGCATCCACTTCCTAAATAACATGCCTCCGGAAACTTTATGAACTTTGATAAATGTCGATAGTTGTAGAAAGACCTCAGGCATTTTGTTTATAGGGTCACTATGAGTCATGCTCAACTCATGCTCGACAGCAACAACAACAACAACATAGATCTCTGTAAAAACATATAAATATATCTATACATACACACACATACACTTTTTACTTTTACTGTGAGGTGGAATTTCCATGCAGTGTAAAAAAATTAAGTACTTATCTATTATCCAACCACACATGGAGGACTCATGAATCAAAATGAACTCAAAGTCGACTAATAACAACAACAATAATAACAACATACAGAGTGTCCTATTAATTTGTTTATGCATTTTAAAAAAATTCTTGCCATTGTTAGAGTTATGAATAGAAAAAGTATTTTCATGCTTTGAGAAAAATAATTGTGTGTACCCATGAGTACATGGAACATTCACTCCCAGTGTGGTGGAGAGCAAACAGAGAGTTAAGAAGAACAGGCAAAATGGTGAGGCTCCACATGCCCGAGGTAATATGGGCAGCCACCCAGAAGATCCAGCCAATTATAGTCATACGGAATGTTGGCCAAGTGTTCCCAGATATTCCATATTACACAAAAATAGGAAATACATTTTTTACCTAAAATACATATTTACATATTTGTTGTTGTTGTGTACCATCGAGTCAGAACTGACCCATAGCTGACCATGGCAGGTTTTCAGAGGCAGTTAATCGCAAGGGAGAAGATTGCCCATTCTTCTGCATATTTATCTTAGGGTTTTGTTTGTTTTTTTACTGTTTAAATTTTTTTCAATTATTCCTTCATATACACTTTCCTTCTTTCCTCCCTTCCCTCAACAATTCCCTTTGTAAGATTATTATAATATGGTTTCTAATCATCCATTCCTTTCAGAAGGTACTTCCTTTCACTCAATCCAGCGCAATACTCAGTATGTAACCAGTCCTTTCCTACTCTTTCCCCAAACCTCCCGTCTGGTCTTGATTCTATCATCACAATAATAGGATCATGTAATATTTGCCTCTTTGTGACATATTTATCTTCGGATCAAATTTAAAACCAAAATGAACGATGAACAATGTCCAAAGAGGACTTAAGGCCACCAGTTAGCCATCTCTTAGAGACAGTCACTATCTAGTTTTTCCTAATTTCTTTCAACAGTGACAAAAGGACAAGCTCAATTTAATTACAGAGGTAAAGTGTTGCTTACCAATCAATTCCACTTCGTTGTTAAGATGGAATCTGTTTCCATTCTTTTTAATGACTAGTATTCATAATTTTAGTACAGTCTATTTATTTATATGTTATAAAAGTTAAAAAAATCCTCACAAAGTGAAGCATAATAGCAGCCACAGTTATATCCTGTGAAGTTTCTGCCTCATACTTTAGAAGAGATGGGCTTTCAAAACCATCCAGAGTCACCTAAAGTTCTAACCCATGTCACAGGAACGTTCTAAAATTAAACTCTTCATGTCCTGCTTGTTTTATAATTCAATCACACACACACACACACACAGAGAGAGAGAGAGAGAGAGAGAGAGAGAGAGAGAGAGAGAGAGAAATTCTTTTAAAGAAGTAGGTGTTATTATCACTGCCAGCCCAATCTAGTTCTTAGAGACAAGAATAAGAGCACAAATAGCAAGGTCTAAGTGAGAAACCTAATAAGCACTTTACAGCCAACAAGTTGCTGAATCCTTCACAGGATTATTGTCCTATTTGATGATCACGAATGGAAAACATTCCACGTGTAAGATCAGTTCTAGAATTAATTATGATCAGTTTGAATCCTTCTGTCATAGAGAACCATCTGGTGGGAGAAATAGACTTTAAAGAACTGAATCATTGATTATTTAATTACAGTTGTAATATACACATAATAAAATGATAACAAGGGTGTATATACTTCAGTGCCTACTCCAAGGCCCCTGGGTGGTACAGACAGTTAACACAGCTGACTGCTAGTGCCAAGGTTGGAGGTGTAAGTCTATGCAGAGGTGCCTTTGAAGAAAGACTTGCAAATCTTCTTCTAAAAAAAAAATCAGTCTATAGAAAAGCTTATGGAGCACAGTTCTGTTCTAACACACGTGGGTTATTAGTATGCTAGGGTAGGGTTAACTCAACAGCAACTGATACTAAGACAGATATTGGTACCAGTAGTGGTATCTCATAAAGTCTATTGTTGTTGCTGTTGTTGTTAGGTGCCTTCCAGTCGTAGATGACTCATAGTGACCCTATAAGTGAAAGGTCTGAGCACTGTTTGTACATAGAGTTTCCCGAGGCAAGCCATTTCGGAAGTGGATGCCGCTCCTGCTTCCAGGCTTGATAAAGTCTATTAGAATAAGGAAAGTTCTCTGAAGGCAATGGTGTTTGAGCTGAGTTACAAAGTCAGTTGAGAAGGAAGGGTACTCTGGGAAGAGGAATCATTTGAAAATGACAGCGTCTCCTGGACGCAGAAATGCTATTTTCACAAAAGAGATATGATATGTCAATACAGGTGCAAAATGTCTGGAAGAGTTGGTTTTTATCACTACTAATGCTATCTCTGGGAAGGGATAAGAACAAGGGTTTAAAAAAGTATTTGCTTTTTATTTTTCTTCTGTAGTTTTAAATATCTGTGGAGATACACCCCTAACTGGTATTTTTAATATGTTACCAATTGTCTGTCATGATGACTTATTATAATCTAAAATGGACAGAAACTGTTCAGATGAAAATTTTGTTCCCGATTAGTAACACCACCAACTCTGTATAAAAGCAGAAGGTTTATCTTAAATAGATTTTTTTCTTAAATTATTTTCTATTTATACCTTTGTTTTCTTTCTTTCTTCTCTTCTCACATCCCCTCACCCTGAAGTGGAAATATATTCTTTCTTTACATAGAGTTATTTCTTACCAGTCAGAAACAAGCCATTGGCCATACCCTTTATTATCCACAGTCTTTCAAAGAAACTCTTAAAGTTTGGTTAAGACCAAACATGTAAAGCTGAGTGGACTTTCTTCTTACTGCATTGCCTGGCTTCTTTCTAGATTTCTAATGATAAGAGGCATAATTCAGAAAGCTTTTGTGCACCTATATGCATCTGTAAAAAAACTCATAATACAGAAACCACAGTCAACACTCTGATAGGCCTAAAAGGCAGCCTCTTGGAATCTGTCTCCCTCAATAGCCACCTTTACACAATTTTATCACATCTGTGCTCACTGCTGTCCATTCAATTTACCTTGCCATTTATCCCTTGTTATCCTCAACTTCTATAGAAGGGACAAAAATGTTGGCTTATCTTTCAAATCCAATTGTCACACTGAGATACTTATTAACAATTAATATTCTTCAAAAATGTCTTTTGGATTCAATAAAACTTTTATTTGACTACTCAAAGTAGCACTAATCCTTAATCTTTAGGTTCAATTACAAACAAACAAAAGTATACATAAAAATGCAATTTTTAATCCCTCTTGGTTGGGTAAAGCATGTATCTAAAATCCAAAAGACCTGGTAGCAAATCCTAGCTTCTGCATTTCATTGTTGGAGACCTTGTCACAAATCCTGGTTTCTCCATTATTTTCAACTTACTGTTAGGAAACTCACTTAAGTCTTCTGACCCTCTGCTTCTAGGTCTGTGAATGGCTGGAGAGGAGTTGTTCTTTCTACATCACAGGGCTGACTGACCCTGAGCTACTCCCTCCTTCTCTAGTTCTCAATTTATGTATCACTCTCTCAAGAGGATCTTTGCTGGCTTTCATACTAGAAGAGTAAATTCCTAATTAGATAGTTCAGTTATCTCCCATTGCTTTTCTCCAAAATTCCCAGTATGCTGTGCTATTGCAGGTTAATGTTGTCTTTTGCCTCCCACCCTTCCTGCACCGTAAGCTCCATGCAGATTTGGGCTCAGCTTGTCTTTTACAAGACTATCTGAGTGTCTAGCATATAGTAGACATTCAGCAAATGTCAAGTGCATGGACACTTAATAATAGTAGTAGCAGTAGTAGTAATTAGCAATTAGCAACCAAACACTTAACCCATTGTGCCACCAGATGGGTAACCTAGTGTGGAGAGCTGTGGGTTTGCTTATATACAATAAAAAGTCTTGGCTGAATAACTTTTAAAATGGCATTGTACTTGCACCTGGAGGCAGGCTGGGGCACGTCCCTGCGGCTTGTTGACATCCACAGCTACCAGCTGCCATCCACCTGCAGCATCTTCATGAAACATCTTCAAGACAAAGAGAAAGTCTGGTGAGGGGCACTAAGGAACATCAACAATTTTATACGTTTTAATCTTTTGTTAATATTACTAAATACACTCTTTCTGAGTTTACACTTAGAACATGAGTCATTTCAATTTTGTGCATTTTCACACTCAAAACATATCAATTAATAACAGCTTACATTTATTGAACATTTTCTACATATCAGACATTTCTGCCTTACATGTATGGGCATGATATTGCTCATATATTTTCTACAAGGCTGCAAATAAAACCTTTATCCTCACTATATAGATTATTAGTTCTAAGAACTTCAAAGCATTGTCTAATGTGTTTTATTCTGTAGGTGGTGAATTTTTATCTTTATTCAATGAATGTTCCACAATGGGCTATTTTTAAAGAAAGCTAATCAAACAAGCAAAAAATATACAGATGGCTTAGGGATAATTGTTATTTTTATGTGTTGCTGAGTTGGAATTGACTCACAGCAGACCTACCAGTGGATTTTAAGATTATTGAATATACTATGGACTGCTAGGAGAACAAACAGGTTTGTCCTAGAGAAGATGAGACCAGGCTGCTCCTTGGAGGCAAGGATTCTGAAGCTTCATTTGACATACTTTGGAGATGTTGCAGGGAGGGACCAACCAGTCCTTTTAGTGTATGCTTGGGAAGGCGGAGGGACAGCGCAAGAAAGATCCTCCATGGGATGGATTGACTCAGGGACTGGGGTGGTGTGTCAGAAACAATAAAATTGTCACAGTATAGTGCAGGGTTTAGGGCTGTTGTACATAGGATTGCTATGCATTGCAGATGACTCTACAGCACACAACAACAACAACAACAATATATATCTCGCAGGATGAGATTGCATCTCTTTCTTCTGTGATGCACCTGGTGAATTTGAACCAGGTACTTTTAGGTTCATAGCACAACTTCTACCCACTAGGCCTCCAGAGCTCCCCAAATTCTTGAATCATTTTATATTTCCAGCAATAATTACCCTTTTAAACACAAAATTAAACTAACATAATGCTGAAATGAATGTGGTGATGAAAATGTTTATGTGTATGAAAGTCTCTGGTCTTATTTTAATTTTAGGAGATTATTTAATAAACAATATAAAATTATTTTAATGGGAACATGATCTGCTCAGCAGACAGTGTGTACATACTTATGAAAGGAATAAACGTTTCTCTTAACTTAAGAAGTAACTCAGGCTCCTGTAGGCCTCCTAAAACTTTAAATGGACTGCATTCCATACCTAGATTATTATCATACTGCAAATTCTTCTTCTACCTTAAAAAATGATAATTTGTCAGTATTGTACCCATCTGCAAGACTTGTAGTCCCTTTATTGTTTCCTTTATCATTTCTTAGGGTGTACATATATTTTTGAGAATGGGAATGGTAGTGGAGTAGGATGAAATTAAAGGCATTTATTTTTCAAACAAAAGAGGTAAAAACCCTATTTGACCCTTGCTTGAGACAAAGACACAGTCTCATATAGGTAAACATTTTCTTTATCACACTTACTTATTTTAGTATCATGTTAACGTGATCTATTGTTTAAAAGGGTAATTATTTCACTCAGCATAATGTTCTCCAGAGTCAACCAATTTGAGTAATATTGCATGAGTTCCTTGTTTTTTAATGCAGCATAGTATTCCATTGTGCAAATATAGCATGGCTTCTCTAGCCATTCGTTTGTTGATGGGCACTTAGGTTGTTTTCAACTCCTTGCTATTGTGAACAAAGCTGCAATAAACATGGGTGTACATATATCTGCTTGGGTGTCAGTTATGGTCTCTTCTGGGTATAT